CGGGGAAACCTCTCCGGAATTGCTCGCTTCTCTTCCTAGTTTTACCAAATACTACACATCCTTGGACAGTTTTGTCCCTTCAGGCTTGCTTTGGTACCCTGTGTCAGTAGAATCTTGCGTTTGTATTCTGCACCTTTTCGTCAACAGTTAAGGTTCCGAGATTCATGTGTGTTAGTACCTGTAACTGGTTTGTTAATTCTCACTACTGTGCTGTTTCTGAGGACAGTCGTAACACAGTGTATCGGTTCTGGTTTTGTCGTGTTTTCCTCTTACAGACAATGCGGCTGTGCCTGTTCCGGCGTTGCTGGAAGGCAGAGGACACAGGATTTCTACCTTGACTAGGCGATGCCAAGGGTTTTGGGTTTTTCCACGGGGTCTTACCAGCGTGCCCTCGCACTGGGGTGTGTTGACAGTTCCCCTTGCTCTGCATCCCTGGCAACCGTGGATATATTTGATTTAGCCATTCTGGCAGTAAGGAAATGGTATTTCAACGTGGTTTTAGTTTTGCATTTCCCCAGTGAAGGTGAAGATCTCTGTGTGTTTACAGGTCCATTTGAGTTTCCTCTTCTGCAGAAGTTCAGGGGTTTTGCTTATTTCTCTATTAGATTGTTTTATTTTTATTTTTGGCATTGAATTGTAGGCTTTCTTTATATATTTTGGATACTAATCCTTTGGTTATATGTATTGGAAAATCCCAGATCTGGCTTTCTTGTCACTCTCCTTATGGGATCATTTGGTTAACTGAAGTTTGGAAGTTTAATGTAGTTGATTCTGTCACTCTTTTTCTTTTCTGGTTTGTGCTTTTTGCGTCTTATTTCAGAAGTCTGTGTCTACTCGGAGGTCGTAAATACCCTCTCCTGTTCTAGTTCCTGAAGGTTTGCCCGTGCGCTTTTCACACTCCCCAGCTTTGTTCCCCCTGGACTTGGAGCTGACATCCTGCTTCCTGTCTCTACGAATCTGACCGCTCTAGGGACCTCATATAAATGTGCAGTATGTGTCCTTTTGTGACCGGCTTGTTTCATTTAGCCTGTTGTCCTCAAGGTTCATCCATGTTGTTGCGTGTGTCAGAGTTGCCTCTCTTTTCAAGGCTGAATAATATTCCATTGTGTGAATGGGCCCGATTTAGTTTATCCTTCCTCTGTTGATGAACACTTGGGTCGTTTCCGTCTTTTGGCTGTTGTGAATATTGCTTGTGGGAATGTGGATGTACAAGTACCTGTTTGAGTTTCTTCTTTCAGTTCTTTTGGGTGTGTACCCAGAGGTGGCATTGCTGGCTCATATGACGTTTCTATGTGTTTTTAATTTTTTGAGGAATGACCATGCTGTTTTCCGTAGTGGCCACACTGTTTTTCATTCCCACCAACAGTGCCCAGAGGTTTCAGTTTCTTCACATCCTTGCCAACACTTGCTATTCTCTGGTTTTTTGTATTTTTGTTTTGGTAGTAGTTATCCTAGTGGATGTGAGGCGGTGTCATTGGGTGTGAGCTGCACGTCCCTGATGATTAGAGATGTCTCTGTGCGTGCGTCCTCGGCTGTGTGACACTCCAGTTCAGACCGACCGTGAGACGCCATTGGGGGGCTTTTGGTTTTATCCATTGTGCTTTCCCACAATCCCACAATTCCCAGTTGGTCCCTTTCTGTAGTCCTTTCTTGTCATTGATCTCTTCTCCTGGATGAGACTCTGTTGGACCTCCTCCACCTCCTGAGGGATGGTGTCTTCAGTCCCTCAGACACACTCACACGTGTGGCTACTTTGCTGACTCAGCGTGGTGTCTGGGAGCCCTCAGAGGCAGGTCTGCAGACTGCTTTACCCCTGTGTATCACTCTCCTGTTTCTTTGTCTGTCTGGTCATTTTGTGGACACCTGGGCAGTTGAGGCTCCAGGTACTGGGCCCTCCTCCTCTGTGGCTTGTTTTTGTTTGCTCGTTTCTCTCTTTTCAGTGAGTTGGCTGGATTGTGGAGGGGAAGTTTGTTTGTACCTGAAGATGAACCTCTGACGGTCCTCAGAGGGTCTGCATAGCCTCTCTGGGGTGACAGGCGCTAGCTGGGCTCTGTCAGGACCTTGCCCGGCGCTAGGCCCCACTCACTGCGGGCCGGTTGCTCTGTTGCTCTGACAGCGCCTGAGGTGTGCACTGTTCCATGCCTCGATCCGGTTAAACCTGGGCCCCTTTGCAGAGGCAGTTTTTGAGGCAAATTTGTGGTTTGCTCTGACCCTAGAAGGATTGTGCTTCGGTACGTCTTTCCTGGCTCTCTGATAAACCAGCTGGCTCCCGGTTTAGCTTGTTGCTGGGATGGGCCTTCCAGCCTCCTCTTAACTGCTCACCACTGAAACCCCCATTGTTTTCAGGGCACTTGAACTTCCCACAGTCTGTTTCAAATACCATCAGCTCCTTTGGGTGGAGTTTTGGAGTTCTCTGCTCTTATGGTTTACCTGCTGCCCTGGCCTTGCTCCAGCTCTGGGGCTGGGGGCAGTGACCCCTTGCTCTTGGAGTGACATCCCTGCTTATGAGCAGACTCTGGCTGGGACCTTAGCCTCCGGTTTTCTGGACTTCTCTCCCAGCCTAGACCCTCGCCCTGCGAGTGGGCCGGGGCCGGGGTGGTCAGGGCCCTGGTATTTGCGCCTGCGGTAGAGGCTCTGATTTATGGGTGGGGGTGGGTGGAGGAAGGCGGCTTTTCCCTCAGAGCTGTGGGGACGCTGAGAAATGTTGGTGGCCTGTCCCCGTGGGGCCGCACTGCCCTGGGTAGAGAAGGGAAGGTGCTCACACTGTCCCTGCTCTGACCAGTGTTGAGCAGAGCCTGTAGGGTAAGTGTGTCCTTAGACTCTAGGTGCCCTCAGTTCCCAGAGACTTTAAATGACTGGTTTTGAAAAGCTTTCACCAGTTGCCAGGGAGGTCTGTCGAGCGCCTAGTGCCTCCATCCTCTGGACTCTACCTTGAGGGCCTTGGGCCTCACAGAGTTCGAGTAGGTGTGAAAGTGGGCTCTAAAGGACATCTCTGCCTGCAGGTTAAAGAGCAGGGGGGGACACCCCTGGATGCAGGAGAACTCAGGTTGTAACGAAGTTCCAGTAGCAGGGATTGCTGGCTCCAGGTGGCAGCTGTGGGGAACTGAAGATGAGCTAGGTTAGCACAGAGGCTTGTTGAGACTCGGTAAGTGAGTGGGTGGGTGGGAGTCGGTGTGGGTAGGAAGAGGGTGCAGGAGCGGGAGGCTTCAGAGTGACTCGCATCAGTGTTTGGCAGGTTCGCACCCAGGCCCGATTTCACGTGTCTGACAAGTTATCCTGGAGACACCCTGCTGCTGGTCCTCTGTCCCCTGCTTGGGTAGCAAGGACCTAGGGCTTCGTGTCCGGCAGCTGGTGAATGAGGACAGGGTGGAATTGTCAGCTTCCTCGTCTGTTTCCCTGCAGCGTGGGTAAAGGGCAGGGGTCGTGTCTTGTTCATTGTCACGTCCTGAGTGTGTGGAACAATGGACGACCCACAGCAGGTGTTGGATGGATAACTATTTGTTGAATGGTTTAATGACGATCGAAAGAAAATGCAGAAAGAGAAAAAGGAATGTGGAAAAAGGTGAGTTGTACTTGGGAGGTGCCTGTGGACACCCAGGGGGAGAAATGTTGCCTGTCTTGAGTTCAGAAAAGGGTCTTGGGCAAAAGTGACAGATTTGGAAGTCAGGGATGCAGACTGTGAAAGAAGGAAAGATGTGGGCTGGGGTGATTCTGGGAAGAGGCGAAGAGGGAGGGGAAGTGCTGACCAGCGCTTATGCTCCTGACCGACACCTGGTGGGTCGCCCCTGTTATGATGCCCGTGTCTCACAGCCACTCTGACTGAGTCTGGGAGTGAAACTCAGCTGTGCGTTTGTTGCAGGTTAAAGAACTCTTCTCTTCCTTGGGAGTCGAATGTAATATCTTGGAACTTGATCAAGTTGGTAAGTAGAATGGTTTACATGCTGTTGTTTGTGTTGAAATCAGCAAAATGGACTTCTTTCTGTTTGCCTTGTTGAATTCAGTTTGCTCTTGTGTCTCTGGGTACGTGCACTGTTTTCATCCACATTCAACCACACAGAAAATGAACCTCTTACATGGAAAGAATTTGGTGTAGATATTTTGTTTATATGTTTGTTTCTTTGTATTTGGGGAGAGGGAATAGAAGGAAGATGTAGAAGCCTGGAAATACTTCAGGCATTTCACACGCATCTGCCAACTTTCTAGCAAAACCGAGGAAGCTGCAATCAGTGAAATGAATCTGCCCTGATTTCCTGATTGTATTGCCCGGACCCACGGCGGGGTGGGGGGGGGCAGCGCTCAGGGCTGGTTTCCAGCTGTCTGCTTTGATTTCTTGTCGTCTGAGCCCTTTACACATGCAGGGGTTCTGCAGGGCGGGGCCATCGTGGAAAGGACACCGATCTCGTCTTCACGGGACCTCACCTCCATTAGCCAAGTCTTTAATGAGAAAAATGTTCTTGCCTTTCTGAGACTTTTTTAAAGAATATACCGAGTAGGAAGTCTCAAGTAGTTGTGGTCCCGTTTTATTTTTAGGGATGGAGGATACATTTTGGGCTATGACCGTAAAGATTTTTCTAATGTAATTGTAGGAAATGTTTTCTGAATTATTACTGTTGAAGCAGACTTTTCTTATATTTGCTCTTTAAAGAGGATTCCTACGTGTTTCGGCCTCATTATTGAAGTATAAACCAAAATTAATTTAGAAGTGTTCATCTTAAAAGGAGTCAGTAGACTGGTCTGTGTTCTTTAAGGTTTCCTCTGAACACCTGGGCGTCCCCTCGAGTCCTCATTGAATGAACTTGTGTCTGTCACGTGCTAACCCTTGTGGATGTGCACCTGCGAGCATCTGCATGTCCTAACGCCCCAGTTCAGCTCACGAAGGTTGGATCCTTTTCAGTGTCTTTACGTATTTAATCTTCTTCCATAGACAACGGGGCCAGCGTTCAGGAAGTGCTGTCGGAGATCACTCATCAGAACACCGTGCCCAACATCTTTGTGAATAAAGTGCACGTGGGTGGGTGTGACCGGACTTTCCAGGTGATCATAGTGTCATGTGTTCTTGAATGCTGCGTGTTCAATTTTTGTTTTTAAAAAATATTTAAAAGGGAAGGAAATAGTTTTTAAAAGTCTATTCATTTGTCTCTTGGAGCTCATAAAATCAAAAGTGTGTGGGATGATTATCAGATAATCTTGATGCTTTAAGGGAAGTTAGCTTTTCTACCAAGGCAAACTTCAGAAGCTGAGGAGAAGGTTTTGCGTGAGGTTGCAGGACATGCAGAGGGGCCGTCCTGCGCTGTCCTCTGACGGGAACGGGAACAAGGCTGCTTTCCTCCTGAAGGTTTGGGGGAGTTGGTGAGGCGGGTCAGCCGACACTGTCCAGGGTGTGTGGGGCTCCTGCCAAGGCTGCTGACCCTGCGAGCTTTGCAAAGCTGTGACCTCCTGATCCCTGGAGTACAGAAATGAGCAGCAGCCGTTCAGGTAAGTAGAGACAGATAAGAGTTGGTATTTATGAAATAATGTCCTTATTTTAACTAGTTATTTTCTTTTATTAAAAGTCTGCTCTTGTATCCTACCCTTTATGTATGTATGCAAATGGAGGTCATCAGGGGCGGATCAAATACTCACACTTAGATTTTAATTAAGAATCATATCATTGTTGGGAGAAAGGATTGCCCACACTGTGGGTCCATCCGCGGTCAGTCAGCTTTGGCACCTGGAGACGGACTGTCTGCTTTATCAGTCCTGGGGGCTG